ACCTAGCCAGCGCAGCCGTTGTCCCTTAATCCGCTGTAGCACTAAAAAACTTGCGCAAAACTTTTCCCTCAAACACTTCCAAGGCTGACTTATCAGATGATGTCTTCGTCCATGTCTCCGCACGGGATTTATGAGGGACCTGTACAGTTTGTTATGTGTTCGTGGGGAGAGTACTTTACTTTTCAATTRYCTACTCMGTCCAAAGTAGCACCTGTTGGCAAGAGTGATTCTGCGTTTGTATGAAAGGCATACTTTTACAAGTCCTATGACAATACRTTTTAAGTGACTTAGATTTTACRTGGTTARTGGCTGTCGTTTCGAGAGTCTARGGATATTTGAATAAGTAGAAAKGRTGCTYTGACGTTCGATATTTTTCGARAAAATATTTTAGATAAAAATATMGAYCAAGAGAAAAGAGATTCAATTAAGATTATGCTCTTTAAATACATATACTATCATAACACAAATCTTATTTAAAATCAGGATCCATTAAAAAAAAAAAAACAAATCATATAATTTATTGGGTTAGTTTGTCTCATTTTCGAGCTCTAAAAATTCAGTGTTGTTATTTGAAAACTATATCATGGCAATTTTTGGGATCGCACTATCCCATACTTATAATCTTTCTGAATAGCTTATCGGACTCTCAGGTATACGTAAGGTCATAACGCTTTATTTTTATATGTGGCAAATTTTTGAAATACAAAAAATCGAATTTCTTTAATGAAAGGTTCGCATGAAATATCGCTTTCAGTACGCGTTCTCAACTCTAGAGAACCACTACCGGAAGTACGTGGTAATTTATCCTGTCTCTGAAGTCATTACTTAAGACAGTACTTGCAATATTATTGTGAAAAAGGAAAATGCCTTAATTCTAAGTAGGTCTATATCTGAGTAGTTGACCTTCAGCTTGTAAGAATCCATCACGATGAGAACGAAAAGGAGTTTCAATGTCTTTGTGCATTCTGGCGCTGGATCTAAGAGTCTTGGTTGAGCTCAATAAGCGTTGGTGAGCAACCAGCATTTGYGGAGTTGCGAAAACCTTTTGGCCCAAAGTTGGTCTAAATGATATTTAGGTGATAAGGTTTTTAAGATTTTTTAGATCGCAACCTGTTAAAGTTGCAATGAGAAAKATGGGGTGGATACATYTAGACACTTTTTCCTCTACTGTTCAGTTTTTGTCAAACTAAAGTTGAAGCATCTCCTCAATAAATTTGTGGCAGGCTCTGCGCATTTAGCCGATATGCTAGGGTCTTTTGTTTTATACCCTTTCTCCTAAGCGCGGATATCTCGTTCTAGGAGTTCTGAGAATACAACAAATGGGTGTCTTTAGTTGTCGAAGTGGGATTTTAGTTGTCGTAGTCTCATGAGGAATATATCATTTACCTAACTTAAGCAAAGCTAGGTCTATGGGCTAGAACACCTTTATTAGGCCTTGAAGAACAAATAAATAGTATAAAAGCTGTTTTGTTTGCATTCGAGTAGTATTTGGAAATTCTTGCGCAGCATAAAGAACGAAATTCTATCTCATCCACAGGGTCTAAGTTATAGTCTAAATTACTTAAAAACGCTATATTTCCATTTGAAAAAATACAATCTGCTCTGTGATAAATCACCACACTAAACAATAGTTTGCTATGTCTAGACGAAACAATTGTCTTTAATTGAATTTGAATGGATTTGCGGCACGATCCCGGGGTTGAGGTGCGACCACTCAAAGTGTCAGTACACAGTTAGAAAAAAAAAAAACAACACTTACCAACATTATATTTGTTTTCTTAGCCTTCAACGCTTATATATCAAACACAATACTTTTTTGGCAAAAGGACATGTGTGTTGCATATGCGGCCTTGTTGTTGCTGCAAAATTTCGCTAACATATTGAAAGTCAAGAAGTGCACTTGATTTCTTCGCTAATGAAAAGGCAAAATTTCGAGTGGAAAAAGCGACGACGGAAAAGCAAAATCTCGATTGCCAAATGAAAATGAAAGGAAACAGAAATCATAAAGCGCGTGTGAGGACGCTCGGGTGCTGCGAACGATTGGGTGCGCCTGCATGACAAATGTGCTACCGTTAGTTGGCAGCAAAAACCACATGCTTAGCATAAGCAACGCTGTGCTCTTTGAAGCACCGAACACGCTGCCAAAAAAAAAAAAAAAAAAAGCGCAAAATCAAAAGCGAAATAAATCAAAAGACTGCTAACAATATTGCTGCTTGGCGGTTGGAGCGCCAGCGAGTCAGCGTGAAGTCAAAGGAAATGATGCATCAGATGATATATGAATGTGTGTGCGTGTGTATGGCAGGTCAAGGCTTGAGTGCACATCCGCCGGAAATCAGCAAAAGTGTATGCAATGATTCAATAAAAAATCGAACACACAAAAAAAAAAAACGATTGGAAATAAATAACTTTGGCGCTGAAAGAGCTAAATAACACAATCTTTTGTATACAAACATACACGAGGTAGATGCGTGTGTGTGGATAAATTTCGAGTGCTCTGTGGATAGGGTAAACTTACTTGGGCATCATGTTGGCCGCTTGCATGCCCGCGCCAATAACGCCGCCGCCGCCGCCGCCACCATTCTGATAGACGCCGCTGTCGGTGACGCTGCTGCCTACGCCGCCGTTGGTGTGACCGCCGACCGTTTTGCCTTTCAGCGTGTTGCTGGCGCTTCTACTGCCGTGCAGAAAATCATCAATCACGCGTCTTGGCTGGCGCTTCGAGGGGACACGTGTGAATGCCGGCTGTATGCGGCCCAGCGAGAGTGCATCCTTGGCCGTGGGCTGCTTCTCCGTGCGACTGCTGTGTGCGTGTTGGACAAATGATGAGTTGGCAAGTTGGTTGGTTGATTGGTTGTTGGTTGGTTGATTTTGGGCGAGTGGTGATGGTTTTTGTTGGTCGTAAAGTAAAACAAATCAATCCATATTCGTTACGGGTTAGGTTGTTTGGCAAATGCGGGTGATGTGATGATGTTGGTGGAGTACATAGAAAAGAATGAAAAGAAAAAATTATACGTTTGGGTGAACAATGCGGAGAACAAACAAAAAAAAAAAAATAAATAAATAAAAACACAAACAAAAACTATAAACGAAATGGAATAACAATTCAAAGCAAACATTCTACATACACATGAGTTGTACTTGAGGTTGTTCCAGCAACAATACACAATTCTTTGCGACGCAACGCAAACCTAATAAAGCCAAGTATATTGGAAAAAAAAAGTCCACATGGCAATAAAGCGACGTATTTGCCTGGCAGCGCTGCGCTCGTAAAAAATTTGACGCAAGCCAAGAGGCGTGCACCGCCTAGCCCCTTATCTGTTGTGCGCCATTGCCGCGCCTGTGGCCGCAGACAAATGAGTTGCACCCGAGAGCTAACCTTGTCGTGACGAATGTCGTAAAAACCACAAACAATCAGCGAGAACAAGCTGCCACATGCCATGGTAAAGTGCAAAAGGAATGCGCTTCTTGGCGCACTGCCACGCAGCCAGTCATCTATCTTCCAGACAAGCGCTTGTAGACGAAGAGTTGTGGCTAAAATCGGCATAGAAAACTGCTAAGGGGCTTTGGAGACGCATTCATCATGCGAACTCGCATACACTCAGTTCTGCATAAAAGAAGCGGCTTCAATAATTTATTCGCAATAATATTTGATGAAATTTTGGACGCAGAGCTTTAGAGGTAACACATTCTGTATTCCTTTTAGAATACATTATTGATTGGCTTAACTGACTCTAATATTTTTCCAATTTTACTTTAATCAGTAAATTTACAATCTCTTATGTAAAGGGTGATCCTTTTCGAGGTTTCCTACTTTTTTAAAGAAAAAACATAGAAACTTCAAATTTAATGGGGAATGTTTATTATCATTCGAAAAAACAATTCCTTTGCATTAATTTTTTGAAAATTATCTCCTTCAAATGTTGTGGTTGGTCGTGACTACGTCTCAGATGATCCATCCGTTAAGTACAATTTTCGATGACTCGTTTGCGCATTTCGACTGGTAACTGGCGAATGTCATGCGTGCTGTTTTGCTACCTGTATAGATTGATTTAACATATCCCCACAGAAATAAGTCTAACGATGTCATATCACACGATCCTGCTGGCCAATCGATCGGCCCAAAACGTCATATTTTCTGTTTACCGAAATATTCTCTTAATAAATTTTTTGATTGATGCCATATGTGAACAGAGTCACCATCTTTTTGAAACCAAATATAGCCAAGATCCCGAGCTTCCTTTTCAGGCTTGAAATAATTTTTAATAAATAATAATAATTTTTAATAAATATGGACCGATGATACCACCGGCTCACAAACTGTACCAAACCGTTTTTTTTTTTTTTCTGAATGAAATGCCAGCTCTTGAACCACTTTAGTTTGCTCTTCGTCTCAAATGCCTCAATTATGCTTGTTAACATACCCATTAAGCCAAAAATGAACCTCATCGTCGAACAAAACTTGGTTCGAAAACCTCGATGTKKCTTTAGAAGGTCGAGCGGCTTCAGTTCTTGCAGAAGCTGTAGTTTGTACGCTTTCAATTTAAGATCTTAAGGTGAAATGGGCCAAGTCCCATACGTATGTAAATCAGTCCGAGTTGTTGCGAACGCTGTCGAATCGACCGTCCACGGCCTTCGTGTACACGCTCAGCCTCGTCTTTGCGGGACGCGGGAAGTACATGCAAAGTTACTTCACGGACATGCAAATCAACATAATATTAATCTACATAATAAAAAAGTTTTCGACAATTGAACTCTCCAAAGTCGCGAAATTTTAAATTTAAAAAAATCTTTTTATAACATCATAACCTTTAGTCTAAAAATTTTGAAAATATTTAAAATATTTTTAATTCATGCATTTTTTTAAATTTCCTAATGCGCTAATTAAATGCACTAATGCATTAAGCAACTGAGTCTAGTGCGCACACTTGAAGAGTTTCAATCAAAATGATACAAAAGCAGACAACTTCGCAAATAATTTACTACCTCAACAAGCAGCCTCTTAGAAAAAATCTCATCAACTGGTTTAATTTGATGGTTTTTGGTCTTGTAAGGCTAGCAGAAATACGTAAGTTTTATTGCCAACTTACAAATACACACACGCATACATGCAAATGTAAGTTGGGTACATTCTGCTAGTTGCGCTGTCTTTAGCCCGCAACCCAAATCGTTAAGGGCGGACACACATTTGAAATCATTAAATTTTCAGCAAATGAGCCAATTTTCAACACCATGTCTACACATTTGATGCAGAAATAAACACGCAAGCACATACATCATCGCCTTCATCTGTGGGGTCATTAAAAAAATCTTAGCTCATCTGCGGCCACTATGCGAACGGAGTGGTCATTCGCCTGAAGACGGTCTTCATTAATGACCTTCACTACGCTAAACTAAGCAAATGCTGGCGAATTCCTTCACTCAACTAGAAGTATACGTATACATACAATACGCATACATACCTACATACAAACACTCACATACACAAGAGTGCAAATTTATTTCGCCCAACTGTGTGGCAAATGTTGCCAAATGTAGCTTCTTTCGCCGACTAATTGCGAAAAGTCCCATAAAACTGTTTTATACACACACGCATATATACAGTCGTATATAGTATAAGGCTGTGCGCATTTGCGCCACTTGAGAGCCTAGACCATGGCTGGCACTTTTGTTGTAACTTGAGTAGAGGCGCGCAATAAATACGTTTGGTATAGCCCTACAACGCATGGAACTTTATGGTTTTACATTTGATCAACAGCAAGGTGGGCACACATGCAGTGGAATATTTTCGTGTATGCATATGTGTGTGTAATTAAACTTGGGGAATAGTAAAAGCAAATCGTAAAGAAATGGCGATCGCCAGTAATAAAACGCTACAGTGAAAGAGAAGGAAAAAAAGGGCTGCGGCCGCAAAATAGGTACCAACTAAAGATAAAAATGTGAGACCGTGTAGCCAAGCGCTATTTGTTATTTTAATTTTGTATCAAGAAAATGTCCATGGCATCAATTGAAATATTGACGGACAGCAAAGTTTGGCGTTGAAAGTATACCTTACACTTTACAAAACTCMTATCAGTAGCWGAAACTTCTTSCGAATTTCRTGCCATATATCAAATGAACTTAATGTAAATACCCATATGAAATAAAATTTGAGTTTTGGCTATAAAATGATTAAACATTGGTTATATATTGGTTATATCTGACAGCGGAAGCTGAAAATTTTATTCTACTTAACTATATGTAATATTATGTAGTGATGAATCGAAAGGAATAAAAAACACAATATCGATTATTTTGATTATACGTTATTTTGCATTTTAGGTATACTATACATTGTATATTGATAGATTTCAGAATCGCCTTACTCACGAATTAAGAACAAATTTCTTGTCATCGAATACTGGTCCGAATACGGCTCKTAATAACTCTCCATGCAAGTACCTTAAATGCTAAGTTCGAACACTGGAGTTCATCTTTTCTATGACTTTACAAAGGACTACATACAGTAGTCCACGTGCGATCTCTCTAGATCCGCGATCTAACCTAACGTGTCCTAACCTCGTTTTTGCAGAGAATGCATTGAAAAGTTTTATGCGCTTGAACGCAAAGGAGATAGAGAAACAGAATATTTGCGACGAATGTCTGATTGCGTCACATATCATGGATATATTTATCCTCAAAATAGACTTCATCCAGTACCAAATTTACATCCATAAATACCCACATTCATCAAGTTTGAATACAAGTACTTGTGAACGAAAGGTACTGCGGAAGATCCGAAGTTTTCGAGCCAAATTTTGTTCAGCGATGAGGCTCATTTCTGGATCGTTGCGACAAAAAGCAACCTGARGAGATTCGTGAGCTGTCATYTCATTCAAAAAGAACAACGGTTTKGTGTGGTTTGTGGGCSGTTCCATATTACTTCAAAAATGATGGCGGTGAGAACGTTACCGTCAATAGCGACCGTCATCGCGCCATGATAACCGACTATTTGATGCCGGAAGTTGAAGCTCGAGATCAATCATTGGTTTTATTGAGAGAACACTTCGAAGAGCAGATAATTTCTTGTTTTGTGTCAGTCGATTGGCCACMAAAGTCGTGTCGTATTACATCGTTAGACKTTTTTATGGATATGTAATRTCTGAAGKCTATGCGTACAATCCCGCWTYGGTTTCGACCTTGGAGCAAAACATTAGATTCGTCATTCGAAAGTTACCAGTCTAATGCTCGAACGAGTCATGGAAAAATGGACTCAACGGATGGACTATCTGAGACGTGGMCACGGCCASCGTTTGAACKAGCTAATCTTCAAAAAATAAATAMCAAAAAACGTTTTTTGGAACKATAATAACCATTCCTATTAATTTTGAAGTTTTTTGTTGTTTCTTAAAAAAGTAGTRGTAGTCTCATATTGGATCATATGTATATTTTTTATGATATAAAAATAGCAATTTTTACGATTTATTTTTTTGCTTCTCATACACCTAAAGTTACCCACATCATCTACACACATATGCAATATTTCCACCAACTTACCTTGTTAAAAAAAAAGAGAAATTCACGGCCACCTTTACCTTTAATACCATCATCAATCAATTAATCCGTTATCACTCACCTGTAGCGTAAACGCGAACCGAGTTGAAATAAATCCGAATTATTGGATTGCGAATTCGGCAAAGGCGCGATGCGTACCATGCGAAAGAAGGCGTGATGTTCCACACARCAGCGCCACAAATGCTTACAAGCGGTTTTTCGCGGCGTCTCAAAGCCATAGGTGCTGAGGTCGTTCTATGGGGTGGGAGAAATGAAAGAGMGRGAAAAAAATAYTTATYASAAAATTTATGGMATATTTTGCCTTTTTAAGACAGTGTGTGAAGGGGACTAGAAGCGCGCATGTGATTTTATAAAGTTATAAATACTTATCAATGTATGCTAAATTTGTAAAATAAATAGTTGTGGGTAATATTAACCTATACATTCGGTAGTCAAAAAAATCTCTTCGTATTTATAATCAAACATCAACATAATTTTTTTTTATATTTAAAAAGAACTTTAATGAACCAAATATGTACAATTTTGGTCGACCAGTTTTTGCCACTTTTCCGATAGCGAGATTATTCTATCAGTGTAAAACTTTTCTGATTTTTCAGCGAAAAACAGCGAAAAGTAATTTTCGCAGGCTTCTCTTGAAGCCGTAAAGTTGGCTCCCATTAAGGACTTTCGCATTGACCGTTACAAATGATAGTCCCATGGTGCACGGTCAGGGCTAGATGCTGGATGCATCAAAGCTTCCCAGCGAAGCTCTCCCAGTTTTGCAGAGTCATCAAAGATGTGTGTGGTCTAGCATTGTCCTGATGGAAGACGAAGCCTTTTCTGTTGATCAATTATGACCGCCATTTTCGSTTGCTTRCKTYAATCTCATCAGTTGTTGACAGTAAAATGTAGAATCAATCGTTCGACCAGGCTGAAGCTGCTCATATTGGATGATTTCTTTCTAATTCCATCAAAAAATCAGTGTAACTTTTCGAGGCGTCAATACTGACTTTGCGCCCATTTTTTGAGCTTCACCATGCTTGGACCATGATCTGTMTCGCAGATCATTGTCGTAGTTGGTCTACTTTTCGTGTCTTGTTACCATTCGCTTCAGAAATGGTTCAATTTCATTTCGTTTCAGTAAAGGATCGCAGATGTTAATTCGGTAAATTAAATTTTTCATAGAAAACTTATCTGGTACCCAAACAGCGAGCTTATTTTCGTAGAAAACCTTTTTTAAATGGTGCAAAACCGTTTGATGATGAATGTTAAGTTCCTTAGAGATGTCATGCCTGYTTATGTGACGGTTCTGGTCAGTTTTCTTTCACATAGCAATTTCCAGAACGGAAGCGTGCGAACCATTGTTGTGCTACACGAACTGATACAGCAGCGTTTCCATAAGCTTCACAAATTTCATTGTTGGCCTGCGTGGCATTCTTCACATTTTTACACAAAAATTTCAAAATATAGCGAATTTCTTCACTGTCTTCACTAATTTTTGAACAGCTGTACCATTTTTTCAAATTCCATGAATTTAATTCTTTTTGATTAAATGAAACTTAAAATATCACCTTTTCAATGCTATATGGGATGACACAATGTGATTGGTAGCACTGGAGATCTACGACTGCAACGACATCTATTGACAAAATACGAAAAGACTTTTTCGACTACCCAATATTATTTAAATAAGTATTTTAGTAAGATTATTGAAAAGTGTTGAAGGTTTTCTAGTTTAAAGTGTTTTGTTAGTATTATTTTTCTTAGTAAAAAAAATAATTAAATTTTTTGTTAAGAGAAAATGAAAAAAAATTTTTTTTTGCTTATAATGAAATATATTAATTTATGTGTTAAAACACAAAAATTACGAAATATTACCTCAACACTGTTTGAAAATTTGAAAGACAACGAATGCAACCGCCGTGTTTCAATAATTTTTTTCAACACTTTATATGCAAGCTGGCAAGCTAAACTGTYAGTTCTATCACCTACCTCGAATAACAAAAATATTAACCATTAGCTTACGCGATATGCTCTTATAGCAAAGTCTAGTGTGAATATATAGCACTAATAACAGAACTTTTTTTCTAGTAACAACTTTCAAGTCCTTCAACCATTCACATGAATACTTTAACTCAATAAATTCACCACATTACAATGCGTGTGTGYGTTTGTTTGTGTGTTGGAATGCATTACTGGCTTTATGTCGTCAGACAGGCAAGCTTTTCTTCGACTTTTTCGCAGCGCTTCCAAATAAATGGCTTTGCCAACAAGAAATCCCATTCAACAAATATTTCACAAGTGCTTTTGCTTTTGCTTATAAGAAGGCGACAAAGTCAAGCGAAACCTCAAGTCGAGTGCCGTCGCACTAAGGTTGTGTGTGTGTATTTGATTTCTGTGTAGATGTGTGTGTATGAGTTGCTGTTTAGCTGCCGATGTGTGTGTGTGTGCTTTACGCAGCCTTCGAACGCACCTTCAGTGCAAACAGTGCGAGCACTTGAGGCTTTCAGCGCATTATGTTGAGCGTAAAATGCCTTGACACTTCGGCAAAGACGGCGACGCATTTAATATGGTGTTTATACAGCACTARCACCAGCACCAGTTTGTATCTGTATATATGTATGTGTGGAGCAAATGCAAATAATGTTGTTTCTTAAGAAAAAAGTAGGTTCTTGCAGAGAAGCGCGTCAAACAGCGCTGAGTGCTTGGCCGAGTGTCGCAAAGGAATTGAATTTATAAGTGGAACTACTTTAAGTGAGATATTTGTGTGCGGGAGTGTGTGCGTTTGCATGCAAATAGTTATGAATAGTGCGCGAACGTGCTGACGTATTTACATTTTTATCGCTTATCCGCAGCATGAAATAGCGTCCTTTGTAGTAAACTTTGGCAATGCGCGGCCAATAGTAATGAGCCACGGTCGTCTTGTTGCGCAGCACCACAATGCCACTTGGCGTCAGGCCCAGAAAGTACTCGACGCTGTCCTCGCCCTGCGGAAAGAAAAGAGAGTRAGAATGCTGATAAGTAGTTGAATAATAAGATAGCTCAAAATAAGTGTAAAATTTACAATGCCATAACAACAACAACAGCGGATTACTTGAATGGCTAAACTACTGTAGCACAAAAAAAAAAATTTTTTTTTTTAATAAAAAAGTTGATCAAAAAATTTACAAAATGAAAAAAAAAAAGTTTAGTGTGGTTGCACCGAAGCAAACACCCGCGACAAAATACAAAAAAAAAAAAAAAAATTACGTAAATGTAAATTCCTTAATTTTGAACGCTCAGTTTGTATGACAGCTATATGCTTTAGTGATCCGATCTGAACAATTTCTTAGCAGGTTGCAGCATAGCTTTAGAGAGTAAGCCGTGCCAAATTTCATGAAGATAACTCGTCAAATGAAAAAGTGTCTCATACAAGCATTTGATTCCAATCGTTCAGTTTATATGACAGCTACATGCTATAGTAATCCGATCTGAACAATTTCTTCAGAGCTTGTACCTTTATCCCAAACAATATGCCATGCCAGATTTCAAGCTGATAGCTGTTGTTTAAATAAAAAAGTTTTCAATACATATACTCTATAGTAGTCCGATATTGGCAATTCTGATAAATAAATAGCTTCTTGAGAAGAAATGGACGTGTGCAAAATTTCAGATCGAAATCTAAAAAATGAGCGACTGGTTCACGTATATACGGGCTGCCAGGCACTGAGTGTTACAAGCTTCATGGCGAACTTTATATACCCGGTTCAGGGTATAACAATAGTAAGGAAAAAAAAATGTACACAAATGCATCCGGTGAAATATGTAAGGCAGAACATACACAACAACAAGCAAAAAGCTCTTCGCCACGTGAAAAGCGCGTTGCAAAGTTTTGCCTCCACACCGCCCGAGCGTGCCAAGTTTTGTAAAGAGGTTATTAAAATTCAATAAAGTTATTAGCCATGTCATGCTCGCTCCGTCTCCTGCAACTTGGACTTGCTACACGCTATTAGCCGTGCCAGCAGTGAGTGGGGTGCTGCTTACAACCTGCTGACGGTCATTATCAGTAGATTTTACGTCAAAGTTTTTCTGCTCTTCGCACCAACGGCGAGTTTATACATAATTCTCTTTTCATGTAGCCTCTTTGTTATGCAGTTTGACCTTTCAGCAGCTAGCTCGACACAGCCTCTGTTGCTTCAACGGGAAAGTAGTTATGGATGCCGGTGATAATTTCACGTGAATTTATTTTGAAATTCTTTTTGTCACTTTCTGTTTATTTGAGAACGGTTTGGGTTCTCTTTACTTTTTTTGTCAATATGTTGTTGCACGGATACTGTTTTGAGCACCAATTTGTTTCTGCGTTAGCAAKTACTTTTTTAATTTGTTCACTTGACCAGTAAAATACTTGTTAAAGAGTTTAGACTGTTTTCATGGTAAAAAAAAAAAATGTATATAAAATTTTCCTTTTGCTTCAGTTTGAGTCTTCTATACTATTGGTGTGTCTTTCACTCAGAGTTGGCCACTATCAAAAAAGCAGTGGGTTAGAACTTCGCTGTGCAGTCTCTATCACTGAGATGAGCATTATAACCAATTATAAAGCTCCTACCGATACTAGCTTTCAGCAAGCCAAGTTTCAACCAAGAACGAACCAAATAAATAGCTAAGATCTCTAAAGTCGATAAGTTTTTCAGAAAACGAACTCACGCTTCAATAATCGGAGCTATGTTACCCTCTTGCGAGCCATCGTTAGACGACAAAGCTTCGGATGAGCCAGTCAACAGCCAGCACTTATGCGGCTGCAATATCATTAAGGCCCAGATAATGTGATACMTTGAACTACTTGTTCTCAGCAAGGTTCATCTTGCCGCGGTAATAAAAGTTTTAATCAGACAATAGGTCCAATCGGTGTTAGTGTGGTTAGGCAAAATTAAAAATTGGTGGACACCATTTGTCAAGGCTATCTTGCGTAAGATGAGTTTGAAACATCTAACAGCCTTTTCAGGCTAGCCAGCAAGATTCAGGTTGAAATATTTCGGGCGTAATACTTGAAGAGAATCRAGCTATTTAGTGAAAATCGGCTAAATCGACAACCAAAAGTTACTAGTGGGCGATTTTTGGTAGTAAAACGGACCGATGACAACACCTTGCATCAACTGAAGATTCCCAAAAACTTCGCTGTAAACAGAGTACCAAAACATTGGATCATTGTGAGTACACGAAAACTGTGGAAAGTCGATTCGGCGTCATTCGCAGTTAATCGTACTGACCTGGCGCATTTTACATCGAGATCTTAAATTGAAAGCATTCAAAATACAGCTTAAGCAAGAACTGAAGCCGGTCGACCTTCCCAGAAGATATTGCTTTCCTCTATGCTGTCTCGAAAAGTTCCCAGAAGATCCCACGTTTTCGAGTCGAATTTTGTTCAGCGATGAGGCCCATTTCTGGCTCAATAGGTATGTATACACGAAAAATTAAGTCATTTGAGACGAAGAGCAATCTGAATAGGTTCAAGAGCCGACGAGCCGACGATTCAGAAAAAACAACGCTTTCATGTGGTGTTAGGCCAGTAGAATAATCGGTCCATATTACTATTAAAATGATCGCGCCATGCTAACCGACTATTTGATACCTGTAATTGTAATTGAAGCTCGTGATGTTGGCGACATCTGGTTTCAACAAAACGGCACCATTTCTGACACATCGCATCAATTAGTGGATTTATTAAGTGGACATTATGTTAACTTAATAAATTTGAGAGGTCGTGTTTTTCTTATAACGGTGCATATTTGTGGTTACAAWGAATAAAATCGGGTGAAAACTGACCCTAGATCCCGTATAACTAACAACCTGATCTTATGTACCTGAAGGTACTTCCCTATCTTAAGCCCTGGCWGGTTGAAAGACTATGAAATGTGCGGTTATACCTGAACTTAGCGATCCTTTACTTGTTTTCTTTAAATTATAMATTTTTTTTCTTGGATTTTCGGACATAAACTGGTTTCTATAGATCCTTTTTTATCAAAAACTTCGGCAATTTCATTGCTACATCGCAACACTTCCAAACCACTGAACTGAACACGTAACATACCAGCGCTTAAAAACCACACAGTCACGTGGTTGATACGAGTACGAGTTAATAAATTTCCATTTGAGAAATGTATTTAAGTTAAAAGAAGATTATGGACGCCATAAAAATTTCATTCGCTTATTTATTAAAACACTAAAATAATAAAAATCGATGGCAACACAGTGATAACGGCATGATAATATCGGAAAAAGGCGGCAAGACAGCGAGCCACACGCGCACGGAAGTCGAGTAAGGAGGCGAGTGGGGATATGGGGCGTGCCAATTAGGGTTCATACAATGTTGTGCGAACGTTTTCGAGTTCGAAACGCTGTGGTTCTGACGGCCGCGGCACTTTTGGCTATAACTCGCTTGTAGAGCAAACGAAATAACCAATAAAAATACCAACACACACACATTGTTTGTATATATGCGAGTAGCAGTATGGTTTTATTCGCCAGCGAACAGGCGCGCGAACGTCTGAAGGTGATTTATTTCGYCGTGATATCAAAAATGCCATAAAAAATGTAAATGAAGCGAGAATTTACGCAGCAACATAAAAACGAAAACTAAAAGGACGATGTAAAAATGCCAAATATGTGTATATATATGTGTGTGTATATATGTGATTATAGTGCAAACATTGTTGCTGTAGCTTTCATGTGACCCACGCTGCACTAGCTGCTGGTTAAGTGTATAATGACGGAAAATGAAATTGGTGTGCGAGCGGCGCGCAAGGATAATAAAATAACGGAAGGAAACAAGTCGAATTGGTCAAGGAGTCAGCAGACGACTGGCTGCGATGGCGACAATGAGTGCCAAAATAGTGACAAATGACTGAGTGTCGAAATGAATGAGCGTATGAATGAATGAGCGAACGAATGTATAAATTAATGGCCGGCCATATGGCGGCTGAAGGCTTTAACTTATCTCAGAGTGCGCTCGGAGGGCTAACAATTAAATTTTGTCAGTGTCGCCTTGTTTTATTGTGTGATATTTATGTTTGCGTCACGGTTAGAGATAAAAGTGAGATGTGAAATGTGAGAATTTGGTGGGCTGTGGGGGTGGAGTTGAGTGGCCTCGTACCAGTTCTTCAGTTATGGTTAAGGAATTTGATGAAAATTGTGGCTTTTCAGCGAAATTAGACATTGCGCCAAAGTGTGGGCAACAAATGCTGGCCACTGTTACTTGGCTAGAGAGGGCCATAGGCATAAAGAGTTTTCAGTGGCGACCTTGCATGATAGCGAGGCTGGGTATTCAATAAAGTTCTGTCGGATATACATAGTTAACAAAGCCCTGAATTCGTCCGTGGTTAAATCGTACTGTAAAAATCTCATTTTCACAGTAATTTCTGCATCGCTTTAGACGAGACGTGGTGAAATGGGGCAGTGTACTTGACTAGGTCAAAGTTTTCAATTATTTTCTGAAACTGTGTGGTAAATTTTTACGCTGATAGTATGACGGTAATATTAGCTCTCTTAACCTCAGCATTTAGTTATTTCTTAATTAACTGCTTTGGGTGTTTGACTCCAGTAGCCATGCAGGCAACTGGCAGGTTGATGAGCTTTTGCTAGGTCATGTCCAGGTGCTAGTGCCGCCGACTTCTTGTGGTTTCACTAGGGACGTTCACAATAAGGGCAAACTCCAAAAACTCCTTTAAGCTATTAGCCTTGAGCGCGCCGATCGTATACTCCGGAATCAACTTCTTTCCTCGGATATCGCGTTGGTTTAAAATTAGACAGGTTTGGCTGCTTAGTCACAGCGGAGTTGTAGGAAACTGGAAGGTTTAGTAATGGTTGGTTGGACCCCTCGCCTCGGCCTCGGCGGACTTGGATCAGTTGCAAAAATTATGCTCTCGAAAGACTCATTCGGGCCAAAGTAAATCGTGAACGGTCTAGTTAGCATTACCCTCAGCAAAGTTCACATTGAAACGGTTGTGGGAACTCTGTCTGGAGCTGTCCGATCGGGATTGATGTGCGAAGATTGAAGTTGTATAGACTGGTTGCAAGATGTTGAGATATAATCAACCCAACACCACCCTCTTGAATGTTCCATGTTTGTCAAATCAAAGATAAATTTCATGAGACCTAACAGCTTTAGGCAACTAAGTTTTATAGAGAGAAAATACCTGTTCAGATTCAAGATTCAGTTCAAGACTTTTCCTTGTWATTCCTTGAACAGGGTATATCAAGTTTGTCACGAAGTTTATAACACCCTGAAGGAAGCGTCGGATATCCTATAAAGTATATATAAAAATGTCTCTCTGTATATATATATACGAACTAGTCCTTCAGTTTTTAAGATATCGTTTTACAGTTTTGCAAACGTCATTTTGTATTCAAGAAGCTGCTCATTTATCGGAAATGCCGATATCGGATCACTATAATATATAGCTGCCATACAAACTGAACGATCGGAATCAAGTTTTTGTATGAAAACCTTTCGCATTTGACTAGATATATTTGCGAAATTGGGTATAAATTATTTTCTAAGGCAACATTGTCATCTCCGAAAAAATTGTTCAGCTCGGCTTACTATAGCATATAGCTTCCATACAAACTGAACACATAGTTACTAAAAGAAGACGAAGTTAACGTTTTTGTTGTTTTTTTTTGTTTTTTTTTTTTTGTTTTTTTGTTGAATTTAAAGGATTGGTCTTCTGTACCTCTTACCATACTTAAGTACATGCGACTATCCGAAATTCGGCTGAAAAATTATTTTATGTCCAGCCTTTAAATTTTCTCCACAGKTCAGCTTTAATTCCATACACCAATAGACAACTTTTTTTAGTTATCTCCCAAAATTTAGCTGCCTTTGCCTCTGCAACGCTAAACGCTTACGCCCTATTTGTACTCGTACCTGTTCTGCAGTTTTCCTTTGTGCTTTGATCTCCATAGATAATCAATAACATAAAACATCAAACTTCAACATCAAAGCAACATCTGCCTAAACCCGCTTATTAAGCGATTTCACSTTGTTGCTTTTTTCTATTTTTCCGGCTATTTTCTATTCAATTAGCATTTCCATTTACTTACCAACACCGGATGCAAATCCACGCCGTACATATCGTGCCATTTCACTTTGTCCAAATAATTTAGCTCCGCTGTCGCCGGTGACATGCCCATTAATTGCTGATGAAGTTCGGCGACACGTGTTTCCAGTTCACTGCTCTGATTCGGCAGTAAACGAAACTCGGACACATAGCCTTTGGAGTGACGCCGCTGATCGTAATCCCCCAATTCGGCTGCAATAAAATGAGTGGGAAATTAAAAGCGTTGTTAATGGAGTTAAATAATATTGCAGAGATTCATCGTCAAAGGGAATGGATTTAAATACAAATAAGAACATTACTTTAAGCAATATGTACTCATAAAATAGATAACTATATATCGGAGTATAAACTAACTCAAGTATTTAAGGGTTTCTACACTATTAGAAAAAGTAATTTATAAAATTCTTTACATAAAAAAAATCTCTTTAACTTCCAAAAGCACCACATTTACAAAGCAGGTCGAAGATTTGATATCGATAAACAGTTTTTCTGCAGGGTTGGTCTAGTAAATGCATAAATTKTTGTAAAAATCTGTTGCGAGATGAAGACTTAAGTAAGCAATACCAAAACTCAGTAATATGAAAAAGAGTTATACTAACAAATAGCTAAATAAATTMGATGACAACTGACTATTTTTACTAGATTTGATGCTTGTAGAAGAGATCGTCACAAGATGTGATGATTTTGCTGATTTATATGTATCACGATCAGACTAAAGTTGAGTACAYAGCAGACTGGTACAATAAAAACAAATTGGAAATTCATCGATAAATAGAAATTGGAAATTACATTATGTGAAGCGACGCCGAACTCATGTCTAATCGAGCTATTTTAAGTTGAGAAACTTTAAATTCTTCGTTTCTTCGTGGTGGGTTGGCCTAGCACAATTTTGTTTTGAATGTAGAAAGTTGAGAAACTTAAAATTCAACTACCTCATAAAAATATTTAAGTTCCTTTTGACTGATATGTCTGTTAAGCCAAAGTGTAGGTTAAAAGCATAAAAGAGAAATGTCTACAGCAATTTTGAGACTGGATATAGGAAGTCTAGTCACACTAAATTTTCACTCAACTCTCCTAGTTGTTGCAAAAATACTATTTTTTTCAATAGGATGAAAATATCATCAAAAACTACTCAAACAAGAGCTCTGAGCTCTTAATATTATTACTAACACTTGGATCATTGCGATTAGTGTTAAGTCAACTCGCTCAAAGTAACTCGAGGATAAAATCCAAGCTTAAATCGTAAAGGACACACTTTTTAGCATTAATTTATAAAATTTTATCTTAAAATAATAAAATATCCTATTTTTAATGAGTGTTTTATTGAAACAGGAATAAGATTTTTTAGTGGACTTTGTCCAATATTTTGCTAATTTCAACACAAATGTTAAATACTTATAAAATATAAATTTTTCTTAGAACAACATTCTTTTTTTTTATTTTTCTTTTCAGATTGTGTAATAATTTTTACGCACAGAAGTGTAAATACATACATACAGACGAAGTTGTATTCAAATACTTCGATTGCTGTGTCTAAAAATACCCACAATCTGTTAAATGAGGCTCATAATAATRGCAACTCAAGCGCCTCAGTGCCGAAAATATCTAAAACGAGCTGAAAATGTGGAAGACTGCCTAACTGACTCGCTGGCTATTTGTCGTTGATTGCCTCTTTGCGCCTCATTAAGTGATTTTAATAAAAGACAATAAATTTCTCAAATCAATTGCGACTTATTAATATTTTGCGTAATGAGCATGAAGAAAATTTAATGCCAAATGAGGTCAGCTTTCGATTAWAGAAGTTATTCGCATAAAATTTTGGTACAATCGAATATAGAAGGCAGAAGCGAAAGTAAGTTAAATATGAAATTGCAGGGATTATTCATATTCAACTTTTGACGTTGAAGTATTTTTTAATGTAATGCGAATAATGAAAGAACATTCGATAGAGTGAGTAGAAACAGTTTATGGTTGTTGTTGTTGTTGTAACGGCAGAATTCTGCCGAGTTGACAGTCCTTGGCCGGATAAAAATCCGGGTCCGTTCCGGTTTTCGTAGACCCGACTGTCGTGGGAACGGACAGTTTATGGTAAAATGCGCTCGCTGTAAGGTATGCCTTTCGTAAGAGTCAACAAAAAAGTAACATAAAGCAATGTCTGTTATTTGGCTTCCCTCGAAATATAAACATAGTCTTGTCCAATTCAGTGCTATAATATTCAGTTTGAACTGATATTATATACTTTAAATGAGGTTCCTTCCTATGAAAAGACATTTGAAGTTCAAGTAACAAATGTCAAAAGCCTTTGAGCTTGATGGGGTTCAACTGGTAATAGCAAAAGTTACAAGGTACTTAAATCTGGCAAGATGGGGACAGTTAGACTTTGGAGTTCATTGCAATCTGTGCATTAGATTTGGCCCTTTCCTGAGATTCGTGGTGGCTGTGGTTTAAACCTAAAAGCGGGTCAAATCAAAAATTCAGTTCAGTGTGCAGTCCCACTGCGGCCGGGTGCCACAGCACGCAAAGGCTTCAGGTGGGCCTCGAACCCGACYAAGGTGYAAAAAGTGTCCCTTCCACCTGACCTATTGGAATCAAATAATACTTATTTGGGCACTGATCAACGCATTGTTTTRATATATGAAGRAGARTTAAAAARAAAAAATTACCGATTCGAAAAACACCCGAAGTATAAATTAAAAATTCACCTTTCAATTTGATTGCAGTAGTTCAATTATTTAAGTATATAAGTGTTGAAGTATATAAGTATTGAAAAAAACAATCACGAGGAGATTTCACTCACGGGAGCTGCATTAGGACAGTTGGTTTCGAAAGACGTGAAACGTGAAAGATATGGGGCTGAATGTTCAGAAATGCGTTGCAATAGGTACTGGTGGTTATATTATTATGTTGGAAGATCGCGGAGCCGTAAAGGAAATACAAAAAGCAGCTACAAAAGCTGAGATGATAACATGTTTTTCCCATAAATTGAACAAATTGCTTTGATTGGAAGATATCTGAAATATTCGGAGAAGTTACAACATTTTTCCAACAAGTTTCAAGACMAAAACGTAACACTGTTTCAGCTCATTTCTTGGGCAGAAAAGTTGAGTAGCATTGTGAGACAAGATGGGTACAAAGATATGATGTCCTTCATCAATTCACTGTTTCCCTTCCAGAAATCGTTCAAGTACTGACAAAAATAAGCGAATGGAAGAATAGCACGACTGCAGTAAAAGCGTCGAATTTAGTCACATTACTGTGCAACCTCGAATTTATTATTGGAAKTTTTTGTCTCAGTGATGTTTTGTCACTGCCGCAGCCACTTAGTCTGACTCTGRAGAASGAATCWATCGAACTTGCRAMAGCATCAAACGTCATAACAACATTGGTTGCAACACTGAAYYCGYAAAGAATACTTGYTGATCATYACTTTAATAAAATTTTTTCAAAATGAAAATGACTACGARWACACAAGTATATTTTGCCTTAGAWGGCCTCAGCGCTTGCGATAAGGAYATACATCCRTCGATTCATRTTCTYYTTYACGTACWSTGCACTTTGCCAGCCACAAATGCTAGCACTGAACGTTACTTTTCKTCTTTGCACCGAATCWAGACTTGGCTCAGAACAATGAAGCTGCAGGAAAGATTGAACGGCTTAGAATTCCTCAACATAAACTACGAAATTGCTGTGGAACCAGAATAAGTAATAGAAAGATTTAGTAAAATGAGCAAACACCGTCTTGATTTATGCTGTAAATTAAATGTTGAAATATTATGTTTAAAAAATAAAATTATAGTTTA